CGGTGGTTAGGAGTGCCGCCAAGCTTTACCGCGATAGGGCTGTATACAAAGGCAGGGCAGATGCAGCTCCCGCTGTCGTCAGTAGAGGAGGAGTACAAAGTAGCCAAATGCAGAACTGTCATGCTGTATAGGGACTCTCACGACCAGAAAGTTAGAGATGCCGGAGTCACAACCAGAGCAGGTCGGAGGTTCAAAGCTGACTCACTGGTAGACCAAGCAGAGGGTATGCTGGTGTTGCGAGACATCATCGGAAATTACCAACATCGGAAGACAGGGCTTAGGTTCCACCCACTTCCAGCAGTGGGGAAAGGCAAACAGAGAGGAGAGAAGGTCTCTAGTTCAGGAGGAAGTTAGGAAGCTAGAGGAAGAAAAGCGGATAGCGAAGGCAACCCAGATGGCAACACAGGGTGCGTGGACTAAGTGGAACCTTCCCAGCAAGAAAATCTCATGGGCAGATCTGTGGAATCTGGAACCTTACCGCATTTCCTTCATGCTAAGATCAGTTTACGACACCTTACCTTCACCATCCAACCTATACAGATGGGGACTAAGAGAAGACCCAGCATGTAAACTCTGTGGGGAGAGAGGCACCATGGCCCATATACTGTCTTCATGCAATACGGCTCTTGCCCAGGGTCGGTATCGCTGGCGCCACGACAAGGTGTTGACCGTGTTAGCAAGCTCCCTAGAAGAAGCCAGGAAGAGAAAGAGACAGGGAGGCACGAAGCCGGGGTCAACAATCGCCTTTGTAAGAGAGGGGGAGAGGAGAACGATCACAGGCAGATCTAGAGAAGTAGGCAACATTCTGGAGAAGGCGAAGACATGGGAGCTCAGAGTCGACTTGGGGAGGAAGTTGCAGTTCCCCAAAGTAGTTCAGACAAATCTACGACCAGACGCAGTGCTGTGGGCAGAAGCTGAGAAGAAGATAGTCCTCATCGAGTTAACTGTCCCCTGGGAAGAAAGGTGTGAAGAGGCGTACGAGAGGAAGAAGAACAAGTATCAGGAGCTCATAGATGAGTGTAGAAGTAAAGGATGGCAGGCGTGGCTGTTTCCTGTAGAAGTGGGCTGCAGGGGCTTTCCGGCCCAGTCAGTATGGAAGCTGTTCACCGCAATAGGTGTGAAAGGGAAGGAGAGAAAGGTCGCAGTTCGCAAGCTGGGTGAGGCGGCAGAGAGGTCATCCTGCTGGTTATGGAGTAGAAGAGAAGAAAGTTGCTGGAAGCCTGGCGGAGAGGATGTGCAGTGAGTTGGCCGCCACTGCTGGACCCAACAACTCGAGGGCGTCACGGTTGAGGGTCGAAACGCCCAAGGAAGGTTGCACCGTCTGATGACATCCATCTCCACAAGCAACACAGCACTACTCCACTACATAGGTGAGTGGAGTAGATTAAGGCAGCACCCTTGCTGTATTCACCAACTATGGTTGAAAACTTTTTTTTTTTTGGAAACGGCCGAAAATTCATGCGCGCGCGGATGTCATCCATATAATCAAATCAACATGGCCTAACCAGGCTAGGCTTCGGGAGGCGTCTGGAAAGAGTAGAAATCGGGGTCGGTCGGCTGGAGAGAACAGTTTGTCGCCCTTGGCATGCTATCTCTCTATTTGGCCGATTTCTACTCTTTCCACCCAGGCCGTGGGGTTTGATGGCCGCGCAGTTAACGAGTAGAAGTAGCCTTCCCGCGGCCGAATTCTACCCGTAGAAAGGGCCTGGTGGAGGCTACCTTGACTCGTCGTTATTTTGAAAGATAGGGCACTAACTTCACAGTTGCAACAGAAAACACGGAATAAAAGGAGACTATGTAACATTTGACAATTACACCTTTTTCTACCGAACGGCGACTGTCGAGCGAGACGGATCTGTAATTCTGTAATGTTAAAAATAACAAAAGATGGCCTCAAAATTCGTTCTTTTTCAATGGCGTTCGGACAAGTCGGACATTACCCTAGAAGCCATTGTGACACGAAACCGGCCAAGCCCCGTGGGGTAACAAGTCTAGAGATCTTTAGTCGCTCTAAGATCGCCGCCTCGGTGAAAAGGCAAATTAGCAAACCGAAAATACTCACATTGGGGAATAGTTCTGCTAATTTCGCCTGCCTGCACGGTAGTACGCGGTGGGATGGTGACGGTGTTTTCGTTGAAGACCTCATGAGGGCAAGGAGCATTTCTATGGCGTCCTCCGCGTCACGACAAGACGCCCTGATGTCCTGGAGGACAGACAATCCCAGGGTCACTTCAGCTTCGGGGACAATTTCCCTCATTTTCTCAATGTCCTCATCGATATCCGATTGGCGTGAACAGCCTGGGGTTGGTTCCTGTGGTTCTTTCACCTGTTTCTTCGCCTGACTTGAATTGGCCGTGAGTGATGGTACAGCTGGTGAACTACTGTAGCTATCCCACATGGTGGTGGTAGTGTACGAGTATTTTCTCCCCTTTCCCTCTCCACTGCTCCGGTCTCTCTGTTCTTGGTACTCAGTAATGGCCTTTCTCAGATGAAGGGCTGGATGTGTGTTTGGCCGTTCCGCCGAATACTGCTCCATGCTCCTATTTAGGGCGGAATAGAGTTCCTTGTTTCGAATGCCCCTTGCTTCGAGCTTCCTGTTCAGCTCCGCGGACTTAGTTCTGTCAGACGTGCTGTCTTCCTCTCCCTTCTTGATGAGGTTGGCGACTCCGATTACCTCCTCCGCTCGGAGACCTTGAGAACTGCTCGTCGCCCCTCTCACCTGTATGTCCTGGTCGTGTGCATGTTGGTGGCGATATACTTCCACCTGCAAACAACGCGAGCACTTACACTGCTGCCAGGGGCAGGCTTTTTTGTGGCCTTTTAGCGGGACGATCTGACCGTGGCCACGGCACTTCTTGCACGTGTACTCGGCACGTTGTTCCATGCTGGAGTGACTAGTGGACTGCGTGAGGTCCTGAGACGGCACAACCGTACCGTGACTGTGTTTATTACACCCCAACCCACACATCTTCACACATGTATGGTAAGAACACGATACAGGGTGGTATATGAGTTCAGCGGTATGTTCAACCATGGTGATAGCAAAAGTCAGGAAATGTGAAAACACGTGTGGGTAAAAAAATAAGTTCCTTGAGCAACAGAACAAAAAGAAATCAAACAAAACAAAACAAAAAACAAAATAAACAAAACAAGGGCCCGCATGGTCCGAAACGGAAGAGGAAAATAAAATGACCGCTAATCCTGTACCCTACATTTGACACGTTCTCTTGAGAACAATTCGTTTTCTTGTGAAAACACAGCAGTGTGCGAACTTCATGGGAGGTAGGAAAAGGGTTGCTGTAATATATTTATTGATGGTTGTTTTCGTGACTGACGAAACACATCCCTCACATTTGGTTTCTGCAGTAAAATAAATATGGCAGAAACTAATGCCGTTCATGCAACAACATTGTATCTTGCTGTAGAGAAACTTTCTTCTCCTACATCTGGACTCGTAAAAGTCTCAGAAACAGACGAAGGTATCGAATTAGTGCAAGGATCCCAGAGGATTCAAGGGCGCTTTCCAGAGGCAACAAGACACCTTCTTGGCATCTTTCGGAAATTCAGTAGTCACTTAAACTGTCAAGTGGCAAACTGCGTATGTCCGGAGCCAGAAAATCATACGTTCCTGGTAATAGATGTGTATTCTGCACCTGAGCAAGTTAGCCATGTCCGTTGTTTGGTTGACAGTGCTCTACAGTCGAATAGGAACGCTTATCGGCAGATACCCAAGCTGATGTCCTTACAAGACAGTGGTAGACAGGTAAGAGACTTAGACTTTTAAGACGAAAGACATTTTGAATCTGAACAACTGCGTGTGTGTGTGTGTGCGCGCGCGCGCGTGTGTGTGTACGTACGTGTGTATGTATGTATGTACGTGTACCACATGTGAGCATTTGTGTGTGTGTGTGTGTGTGGTCTATGTGTGTGACGTTCTTCCCCTGTTATATCAAAGAGGTCCTTGTTTATATTATATAACCACGTGTATTTCTCTCCTTACGGCATAATTGTAACTGTTTTCTGTGGGGTCGTGTGGCGCAGTCGGTAGCGCGTTCGGCTCACACCCAAGAATATATTTAAAAAAATAACTGTTTTCTATAAAACAAACAAACATGGTGTATTTTTACACAGGAAGTGACCAATACTGGCCAGGTTTTTTTCTAAACAGGGGAATAAGGGAGCTGCTCCCTCATGTAACCAGCCAGCTCCCTCATACCAATTTTCAGATTGAACCCTAAGTGGCTACTCTTATTAAAAAATACCCCCTTAGTCGCTTCGTTCCTTGTCATGCTTGCGATCTGCTCCCTCATGCTAAATTTTTCTAGAAAAAACCCTGCTGGCAGCTATCAAGAGATCTGTGTCGACTGCGGATTACCCATATTCAGCAGAGTGGAGGACATTGACGAAGCGCATCTCGATGTTATTCATAATATAAATAGGCAATGTTTCACGTGTGGCGACCGCAACGTTCTATACAGGTGACTGGTGTACGGTGAAATCGACAAACGATGGATAGTTCTAGTGATATGAGATCACAACTGTAGCTCTGATTGCCATGGTAATGCATGGCTGGTTATGATCATTTCCATATTAGAAATTAGAATTATTATTAGACATTGGAATTATGGCAACATTTTGACAGGAAATGTAATATGTGTAAAAGTTGACACACAGCTAAAACTGTCATTCACGTTGTTTCCATATGCTCGTGTTTCCTGGTTTCTCAAAAGAGTGCTAACTGTATATGTACTAATTTCCTAGTGTGGATGTGTTTTAGTATTCGCTTGTGATCCCAAAATTTACATCGTTACAAACGTTACATCAAGTTTGTCTTGGCTACTTCATCACATGTATTAAGATGGTGGTTTCGCCTCAAGTTCACACCACGAAAATGTGCACAGGAAAATGACCGAGTTCAACTGGACAAAAGAACCTCAAACAATGGACATTGTTTATAGAACTGAGCTAATCAGAAAACAGCCGAAGATCACCAAAGCCCTGCTACGGAGGCCAGGACATCCCATCCGACGGACGATCTTTCTGCTTCCATTCCGAGCGGTGCAGTGCGACTGACCGGGGATCTAACCACAACCTTCGGGTTTACCCTGGCGGCAACAGGCGATCACACACGGGCCGAACACGATTACTTTCACCATGGAGGTAGCTCCATGCTTTCACCTACACATTAGAGATTGTTGATGCTTGCTCCACACGGTTGTTTTGATCTGTTATGAGTCTGAATGTGACTGAATGAAGAATGAAATGATGGGATGACAAACCATAGTGTCCTCGAGCTGAGTGTGTGTAGGTCCAGCTAGGCGAAGCATTTAGGATTCTGTGTGTGTAGCGAAAAACTGGCAACACCCAACCTCCAAGCAGTTGTGGCGGTCTGGTATTTTATGGCGTTTCACGGTGGGCTTCTGATTCAATAATCTGAAGGTTCTGGGTCTTTCCCATTACCCCTCGTAGTTGATAGTTGATAAGACGGGTTTAAAGTCGCAAGAACTCCCAGAACAAATCAGACCATATGGCATGTCATCTATTGGAAGATTTCGTTACTCGTACAAGACAGAACCACCACCCACCCCCTCAAATTGTTCTAATAATTGTTCAATTGTGCCCCAAGTTGATGCAAGAGAGCGTGATATGTCTACGTATATTGCTTTCCTCTTGGGTATTCTTTGGGTATCAGTTTTCTATACCGTCTGTGGCTGCGCGCGTCCAACCGTAAAGCGATTAATCAGGGTAGCGAAAGCACAAACTCAGGAGGAAAAAAAAGACATCCATATGATGAGTTTGTGCTTATTCGATAAATTAAAAAGTCAGCCACTCTTCACGCATGTACCGGATAGCCTCCCCCAGAGCTTCCTATGGGGATGCGGATCCTAGAATTCAGTATAAAAAATAAGGGAGTCAGTCCACGGGAGGGTTGATTAATTTCTCCCTCTGAGTCAGAACTGCGCGGCGCGGCGCGGGTAATTGATAGCCTCCCGTGCAGGCTACGGGCGGGTGGGAATTTTGATACAGCGTTTTGTAGAGTTTTTAACGCTGGTCATCCTACAACTAGCCGGCTATCAAAATAACGCGTTAAAAACTCAAAACGCTATATCAAAGTTCCTAGCCTGACCATGGAGGTAGAACTTTTTTCTACCTCCATGGCCTGACTAATCGCGCTCGCCTCGAAGTTGCCCCCCCCCCTTGGGGTGGGGGTCATTAACCTCCTGCCGAGAGCTCGTGTAACACAGGCTATCAAAATTCCCACCCGCCCGTAGCCTGCAAAGGAGGCTTGTAATTGGTAGTCTATGGTGGCTAGAAACTCACATAGTCAATTATATTCCTGTTAGTCTGATGGAGACTGAACAGGAAGTGCGAGAAACCTCTCCTACATATCTGCTTGGGGATTAATGGCGGGACGTGTCATGAGAAAGTACTTCAATGAGAAAAGAATTCGGTATTTTAAAAGTTTCATTCTTTCACAAGAAACGATAATTGCGTTTATATCATGGTCTTGAGGTAAACATACCAATTGCTTTACTACGATATTCAACGTTGAAGTTGGTCGCATAAGCTCTTTCATTGTTCGTCCCGATAATGATGGATGAGCTGAGTTTGCCTGTACCAATGAATACTAGCATCACGCCTCTTTGAGAGGTTGCACCTCCCAAAATCACTCATGCAGGGGATCACAATTTCCGTCATTGATTACAACCAAGGAGGTAGACGTAGTTCAGCGCTGTGTCCCTGCCTGAATCGAGGCCACAATGTTCAAGTTGAACCAGAACGACGGTGTGTATCGGACTGGAATAGCGTACGGGAACGAAAAACGCATAGCAGTTCTGCGCTGCTACCTCCGCTTCAATGGATGTACTCTGCGTACGGCCCGAGAGAACACTTGTTCTGAATGCTACGTCAGGTCAGTTGTTTCGCGTTTTGTTGAGACCGGGGAATTAGGACACCGACAAGGACACGGCGATGGAGGGCGGCGCGCCCCAGAACATGTCAGGGTGTACCTGGAGGCGTTGGTGACAGTGAACCCAGCCCTCTACATCAGGGAACTACGTCAACTTTTGCAAGACGACCTAGAATTAGCAGAGGTGGACACTCCCAGCGAATCCACAATATGTAGATGGTTAACCGAAGATCGGCTAACCTTGAAAGTAGCAGCGCGGATTCCACTTGAAAGGTACACCCAATTGAACATGCAGAGGCGGCAGGAATATCTGGCATGGCGCCGACACGTGGACCCGGAGCAGATCTACTTCGCAGACGAAACTGGATTCAATTTCCATGTTGACCAGCGGATTAGGGGGCGAGCACCTCAGGGAAACGTTTATCCCCTTGTGGGGTTTCGCAATCCGGGCCAAAAATGGTCTGCTCTTGCTACCGTGGGTTGGGACGGACTAGTAAATGTACTCCCAATCCACGGTAACTTTAATCGGGACGTGTGTAATAACTGCTTCGCAAACTACATGGCCCATTTCATGCAGAGAGGAAGCTACCTTGTGATGGACAATGCTAGTATACACAATGAGGGTGACTTGCGGGCTATTTTTGCGCCACTTGGAATTACGCTAGTGAAGCTGCCGCCGTACAGATGGTGTTTGGACTAGTAAAAGCTAGGCTGAGGCGCACACCCAACGCCGTCGCTGACAACGCTCCTTTGAGTATCATGGACGCCTTCCTGTCGGTAACAGAGTTTACGATAAGGAACTTTTACAGGCGCTGTTGGCGAGAAGATGAAGGGCATGGACATTAAGTAATGACATTAATGTGGCTTGTTGCAGAGAATGCAGTTACTTTAGAATCTATTAAATCGGAGACTTTTATTTGATATTGTTTTGCGACGAAGTAAAAAGTAGCTAGGAGTTAACATGCAGGCCATTT